AAATACGTGCGCCCTAGTTTCTCGTACGGCTTATGTCCAAAACGCGTTCAGTTTGATGTTTTGCCACTGTTGTCTCTAAACCGTTTACTGTAAATATGCTAATTGTAAATTTTTGTTTTTGTTTTTGTTTTACAAATATATATACTAAAATGCTATAGAAAGATTCTCAGAATATCTTGGACAAAGAAGATGAGAAATATTGACATCTTAAAAGATCTAAACATCTAGGAAGATTGGCTAATAAACAGCATCCTTTCTCGAACGCTGAAATATTTTAGTCATATCAAGCGCCACGACTGATTGGAAAAATTATAGCAGAAGGCATGGTACTAGGAAGAAGGGGCAGAGGCCGACCGAGACGAAGATGGGCACAGGATATAAGTGACTCCTTGAGTGTGAAAGTACATGAGGCGGGAGAACTGGCGAGAGACTGAGTTCCTTTCAGGCAGACTGTGATGAGAGCGACGTTCTGCAAAGGACCTGCTACATGATGATGATGATGTACGCTTTAAACATGTGTCTGTTTTTCCCCTTCATATATTACAAATAAGACAAAATAAAACCTATATGTTTTTTTTACATTACAAGGGAATTATTACTATCAGGTTGCTATGGGGTACCGGTGAAGACCACAAGCGCGAGTTGCGATTTCTAAGCCACATTCGAAAATACTCATAGCAAATGTTGATTGCAGAAGAAGAAATAACTGAAAAGTAAGAAATTAAATGAATGACATTCTCAACAATAAGACTATGTTGTTGATTTCAGTGACATGGAAATTTGTGACTGACGTCAGTGAGTCAATGTTATGAAATTATGAAGAATTATTTTAATTATGGAATGGCTATGGACATATTTTGAAATTAGAGACAATACTGAGTATTATGAAAAATGTGTGGATTATTTCAAAATTATGTGAATGATTTCGATTAAATGAAATATTAGAAAATTTGGGAATGACTATAGTGAAAAGTATTGTGAAATTAGATGTACTGATTAATGACTGTGACTACTTAAAAAATATGATCGTTTTCAGTGACAGAATATTATTTGTTGATGATTTTGATCAAGAAAAATATTTTGAAAATATGTGGTTTATTATAAAAACTGTGAGCGTATTGTTGTTGTTTGCTGCAAATATGAGAATTACAATAAAAAATGTTATTGACATTACGAATATGAGTAATGATCCTGGACGTAATCAAAACAATTGGGATTATTGTGAACATTACAAAAACGCATGCAATGTCTGTATGAACATTATGCAAATCGGTCATGGTTTCAATAAATTCTCTTTGTTGATTATAAATCTGTGACTTGTTTGAATTACTATTTATGTCAAATAAAATCTTGAAGTCACTTGTCTACATTGTTAGCGACTATGAATATTATTGTGACTTTCCTTTTATTAAAAACAACAATAAAAGTAATTTTGTACACTTATAAACTGTCCAGGTTCTTCATTTAAATAGCATGTCCTTTACAGAACGTCGCTCTCTTCACGGCGCACCTGAAAGTATCTCTTTCCTCCTTCTCTCTCTAGTTCCCCAGCCCTGTTTGCTTTTATACCCAAAGCATCTTCAATGTCTTGTATCCACAATAGTGGAGGTCTATCTGCCTCTTTCTGGAATCTGTACACTTCACCATCGCTCTCTCCAAGCCGCCATAAAGTTTTAGATAGCTAAAATATCCCAGCTTTCGGGACAGTATGTTGTTTATGAGCCAATTCTCTTCGATGCTCAAATCTTGTCTATGTGGGTGTTTTTTTTTTTTTTCTTTGTCTGCGTTATTTTAAGAATTTTTCTGAAGCATTTAATTTCAAAAGTTCCGATTGTGTTGTTGTAATGACTGTAAGAGTTCGTGACTCGCTTGCATGAGGTGCCACAGTGGCTGGCACACAAATGAACAGATATCCACAGTGGTACACGAATAAACAGAGTCCATATTAAAGAGGAGTAATATCCATCGCCTTAGACATCCGGCTGTTGATTTGTTCCTTCAGCAATCCCATGTCGAGTTTTGAAGACGATGAACAGGCGACTGAAGTGGAGTTCCGGTAATGAGTGTTTTCTTTCTTCGGATATCCATAGTGGTCACTTACTGGTCCACCGCCTTGTAATAGCCCCTGATGTTGGTCAATACACTTGATGTCTTGTGCCACTATAGGAAATACATTTGTTGTTAGGTCCAGTCTACGAACTGCGTTGTTTGTCTCGGGCTTGCTGACGGGACTAGCGTTGTTCGTGTCTGTTACTTTGTGGTTTGTGAATAAGTATTCCAATGGATTTTTGTCATTAGAGAATTCTGTAGAATGTCTTCGGTGTATGGGCTGAGCTTCAGTTTTAGCTCTGTGTTTCTCCGTTGATGTTAATGAGCCTGCCTGGGGCATCTTTGGCAAATTTGAACGCCGAGATTTCTTGTATCGGATTGGAGACAGAAAAAGATCCGATACCTTGGAAGCAACGGAAGATGGAGTCGATTTTAAAGGATCGCGTGTCTTGCTGGCAATCATTTGAGGGTACAGTTGGTCCCTGTCGTGTTTGCTGTAGCTATCTTGAGAATGTAGGCTTTCTTCGTCAACTGATGTTGAGGTGGGATCAAATCCCTTGTTAACATATCTGTCCGGTAACAGAAAGTCGTGGAATGGAGTATTCTGCTGCGTGTTCTGCATGTTTGATTTTGATTCACATACCTCTGCATCAGTAATATGCAGGGCAATATCACTTGAAGAGATGGCTTGAATATCAGTTACAGTGTCTGAAACAGCCATCGTGCTGTTGTTATTATCTGTTCTACAAACTGATCCCTGGTGATCCTTTACCCCTTTTAGCCCTGGTACTCCTAGCAGACTTCTGCTCGTATTTCGTGGTAGGTTATAATATCGATCATGGCTTTCTAACTGAATCTCACTGTCCAACGTTGGTGCAAATGTAGTTTCAGCTGCTCTCTTTACCTTTGGAGACACGCCCTCGTAGTCAACGGGATTTGGCAACACTTTATAGAATCCATCTTTCCCCAGGAGGAAGTACGTCTGCATCTTTCCTTTACCCTTGACCTCTATCTCTCCACGATATTCGATATGGTAGCCTGTAAAATTCTCCAAGCCCTGCTTTGCCGATGAACTTAAATGGATCCTCAGAGCTGAAAAATGTGTATAAAATATCAGTTATAGCCAGACTGTGAACGGTACATTGTCAAATGGGTTAACTGTTAATATTAAACTATTGGTTTATTTAACAGCAAATAGTACATGGATAGTAGTTTTTCGGATATGATATTTACCTGATACTACCACCGCGACTGACTGATATACAATTGGGGTCAGTGCATAGAACTGTCATTCCTGTACTTTTATTAAAGTAGTGAGGGGCTGCGTGGTCCCAAGGAATGGTGTTAGTCTCGAGTGCTATATGTTTCGGGTTCAATCCCCGGTAAGGGTAGTGATAGCTTCACAAAGACTGGACTTCTAGTAATTCCTCCTGGTTTCTGGGTAGTGAGATCAGACGCCCGTGGGCATCGTTGGGCATGCAAAAAATCCCTTGGCAGTTGGAAATCGAAAAGAGTAGCATAACGGCGCTGCCCGGGCAAAAATGTAGAGTTTAAAATCAAACCAAAGTATTTCAGGATCCTCGCCGGTGCCACAGAGCCTGTGTACTGTGCTGAGCTTCTTCGGATTCAGACTTGAGTTAGAATAAGAAAGGAGAACTTATGGATTACTACCCGTGTACCATGATGTTGATCCGTTGTTCAAAACCTGAAACCTATTAAAGTAGTGAGAGAACTGCATTAAAAAAATAAAAATGCAGTAGTACCTTCGCTTTAGTATATGTTTAACTTGGTAAAAGTATTTGTTTTTGTTTTTTAGACGAAAAAATGTCCAGAAAGCACAAACAAGTCGTAATTGCATTGTCTGGAATGTCTAGACAATGTCGCATTTTCGTAACATCCTGAAGAGAAGGAAGAAGAAATGTTCTTTGGGCAGATGTTTAGTAAAAGTCAAACATGATGAGCTCAATCAAATGCAAATAGTTTTTTTAAAAAAGGAGAGAGAGAGAAAGAGAGAGAGAGAGAGAGAGAGAGAGAGAGAGAGAGAGAGAGAGAGAGAAAGCTAAAGGGGGGGGGGGAATAAATTATCAGATTCCTGAAATTTTAGTGAAAGGGATTTCTCCTTTCAAACAATTACATGTCTTCCCCCTACCCCTTAATCAACACCATTCTAGTAGGCCCGCAACTCTTCTCAGTATAGTGACTTGAGGTTTAAGTGTCATTTATTTCATCGATTTTGCTTTTGTATTTATGTATTTTAATATTAAGTAGTGTATATATATATATATATATATATATATATATATATATATATATATATATATATATATATATATATATATATATATATATTGGTTTTTTGTTAATACAACCGCACCAATGTAAAATATGTCAAAAAGAACAAGATTTCTTTAAAATACTGCCGTCCCAATATGGGACTCGATTATTCATTTTTTTTTTCATTTTTTTTTTCGAATTTAAATTACTATATGATAATCGTTGCATTCTTCTAAAAAACATATCGCTGCCGTAAGTTAAAGCATCTTGATTACAAGTTAGCAGCAAAAAAAAAACACCTGGACTCTGCGCTGATAACAAAGGCAACACTTTGTATTCGTAGTAAAGTAAGTAAAGTAAAGATCTCTTTTTACGCCTTTAGACGCATCTGGCAGATGAGAAGAGCACCCATATTTGTACAGACCAATCGGCAATAAGTGGGTAATGTGGTCAGTATTACGCCGGCTGTTTTTACTTCCCCAGTACATACATCCTGGTATCAATTTTTAGCTGGGTCGACCTGCGACGCCCCATACCATGATAACAATCCACGCAGCCAGCAGTGGGTTTCAATCGCGGTACTTTGGAATTACGAGTCGGGCTCGCAAAGCCTAAGCCAATTGTATTAGTTGTAAGTGTAACAAATCTTCATCGCGTCAAAAACCTGAAATACTTACGCAGGCCAGAAGATTCCATTCTGGATGCCGTGTTGACAGTGTCCCCAAAGAGACAATACCTGGGCATCACAAGGCCAACAACTCCTGCTACAACTGACCCAGTGTGGATACCAATCCTGAAACAAGTAATCAACTCTTTGTAGACCAAGCGTGAAATTATTATTTGCTAACAGTAAACTTTTCTTTGAATACCAACAATTAACTTTTTGTTAGCCAAGAATAACTTTTTGCCGGTTAAAAATCCACTCTTTCTATGTCACAAATAAGTTCTTAGTTTACTAAACAAATATGTCACGAACGAACTGACAAAAAAAAAAAAAAAATGAAGAAAAAAACCGAAATACACCAATTTTACTTCACTTTAAAGTCCCAACCCGCTTGTAGCCGGGAGTCCTAATATAACCCAACCTATGTGTTGAACGGGGTTTCATGGACCCTTTCCCGGGTTATCCTCATCTGAATGGTGGCACTTTGTGTCACCGAGTGTTTATCGCTAAATGTGATGTCCTGGCGGGATAAAACATCATTACGTCACGAACAAACCAGCCCCAATATGGTAGACAATTTTGATGTTGCTTTAAAGCCCCACCTCGGCTCTTGTCAGGGACCCTAAATTCAACCTAACGGTTAAACGGGGTTTCTGGAACTCGCAACCGAGTGATTCTCATCTGAATTGTGACACTTTGTGTCACCGAGTGTTTACGGCTCGTGCTGGGGTTAAAAATCAATCGGTCAGTCAAGAACAAACGACTCAAGTCCACAGCAGACTACAGGTTTATTAGTGACTATTTCATGGTGCCCTAATTTAACTATTCTTGATGACTATACGGCCAAACAGGTTTCCGGAATTTGTACCTGTTTTATTTTCATCACTGAGATTTTATTCGTACAGACATTTCCCAGGGAATGGCGGGGTGGGGTGGGGGGGGGGGGGGATAAACACAAAGTAAGCCAAGAGCTCTTTATACATCAAGAATTAGGTCTTCCGCTATACCAACAACAACAACAACAACAACAACAAAAGTTAGTAAAATATAAATAGAGTATATTTCAATGCTTGTAATCAGGATTTAAATGTTATCGAAAGTGTTATTTATTACACAAGAAACAACGTATGAATGAATATCAGTAAAAATTGCGAGATACTGGAATGACAGAACATTAAACGGGCCTGCGTGACCAATTCTTAACCCGTTGGAAATACAGTCTCTTTGTTTAGTCTTTCAAGTTTTATTCTAAATGACCAGGTCTCTCTAAAAAAGATTGCTAGCCGTCCCTCGAGAGCATCGCACAAAGCACAATATCCGTAACTCTAGTGACGGTCTCAAGGGTCTCCTTGAGAATTGCTCCTAAGGACCGAACGACACAGTCTGTAAAAAAGAACCCAAGACCTCCAGAACGTGAGGAAAACGGTTTGACCAATGACGGTGTTAAAGAAAATTAGTAGGCGTGTAAACGAGATGTTTCAAGAGAGCTGAAGGAGTGTATGTAATATATACATAAATGAGATGTTTCCGAATATCTGTAGGAGTGTATGTAATACATACAATCAAAAATGAGGTCAAAAGAGAAAACAAAAGTTTAGGACATAACCAATTCAAAATTACATACAAAGACAGCAAATCAAACGATTTGCTCACTTGTAATGCTTTACGACTCAATGCTTTACCATACAAGGCATCGTTCGTTAGTGGCTTGGATAAAATGTACGAAAAACGTGACTAGCGGGATGAATTGGATTAAAGTGAGGAAGAGTTGCAGTTTCGTCGACCTCACTCTCTTGCCTGCATCCATCTGAATCCAGTGGCAGAACAAGTCGAGACGGCAGGAGATGAAGTCAGGTGCAGTGGATGACCAGGGTGTTCTCGTGCCCCACCATGCTCCTTGCGCTCCACAGCGCGTTGCTGGCATACACTACAAGAGAAGGAGGGAGCCGGTCACAGAGTAGACCAGTAACAAGATGGAAAGATAACTCTAAACGAGCACGATTTCTATGGCCGAGGCAGCCAGAAAAGCACCTTTTATCTCTCTCGACACTCGAAAAAGTAGCGAAGAAAGAAAAACGGTGTTGGTAAACAGGTTTAACCTGCAAGAAACGTTATTAAATATGAAATAACATTCTGCATATAAAAATCTTCTTCTTCGCACAGCAAAGCAGGTTATATGTGCCCTAATAACAGCTTCTATGGTCGTTGAATTTGTTATCTGGGATTTTCCCTATTGATCTGCCATACAAACTAAGATTTTATAACTATAGAGTATACGTAGAACTAACTAAATGGAACACACCACATACCGTATTTTCAATTTCTTTCCTGGAAGGTGAGGGATGGTAAAACTTCTTATAGAAGCCAGTATGTCTAGTGCAGCATTCGCTATCTCTTTTGTGTGCTGACAGCCATTTCTTTTAGGAAGCCCACTGGCCAGCATGTATGCATCTCCGATTGTCTCTACCTGAATAGGATGCAGTCACATTTGGAATTGACAAGTGATAATATACAAATATCTTGGTAGTTGAAACTTTCGAAATATCGTAGAAAAGAAGAAAATACTGAAACTACTGTATCATATTGATTGGTGCGATTCCTCTTTCCAAAAGATAGTGTTATATTGTGCTATGAGGTGGCCCATGACGATGACGAGTGTGACTAGCAAGATCCGTCCGAATTAGGACAAGTCTTCCACAGTTTTAGCATGGGATTTCAGGATCGTTGTTGTCAACATTTGTGTTTAACCTGTTTCTTCTCAGACTCTCATTCTTTCTGCAATCATTTCTTCCTTCATTCTTATTCCCTCTCCTTATGTGCCTACTCCACACAACACTGTTCAAACAGCGAATACCCACCCAGCCACAATAAAACAGTAGAAGACAGTCAATTGAAAACGCCTTAATGACAAATCCACCAGAGTAAGACCAGTAAGGCATGCGGCACAGAACACGACACAATGAAATGACACACCTTATACTTTACCACAATATAACCAAAATGGGCGGAGAGCAACCCTCTCCGGCCCTGGTTGAACGTGGTCATCGGTTATTCAAGTTCAAGTGCCGTCTTAACGCATGGACCCGTTAGACATCTGCCCGGATGTACTATCCTCGACTATTTATATATAGTGTGATCGTAGGGCCCCAGCCCATTGGTTTTCCTAGAGGCCCATAATGCTAGTGAGACTGCTAAAGGTATATCATCTTGTACATAGTACGCTAATGGCGTGAATAGAGTTTCTAATTTACAGTTGCCCCCCCCCCCCCCCCCCCCCCCCCCCCCCCCCCCCCCCCCCCCCCCCCCCCCCCCCCCCCCCACCCCCCCCCCCCCCCCCCCCCCCAGTCTGGAAAGGCATTGTTGCTGAAAGAATAGCTGAGATTAGATTAACACGACACCAGATAAATGTATTTTGTTTCATCATTTGCATATTTAATAGTAAATGATAGACTACTAAATATTAATTGAGCTTGATTCAGATAGTTAGGAAGGTTTTGTAAGCAGGGTAAGGTTAAAAACCAGATAGATCCACTTGACTTGACTGTATACTTTTATTTAATTCAGAGCAGTGAGTTTCTTTGATTCAGAACAATGAGATTTTGTGGGCAATAAATAAACAAACTTACTGACACCGCCTCTATATCCGAGGGGCAACTGAGGAAACAAACCAACATTAGGAGCACCCTATGAAAGTTTTACCAGTAAAACATTATTAAGTGTATAAGAGTCTTCCCTAAAGATCTATGTTCCGTTGGGAGAAAAAGAGGCAGTGAAGGAAGAAGAAGAAGAACAACAACAACAACAATAGCAGTTCTTGGGGGGGGGGGCGAATTAGGAAGAGAAAGATGATGAAGAGGGCAAAAATTAGAAGAAGAAGAAGAAAAAGAGGAAGAGAATAAAGAAGAGGGGGAGAGGTGAATGTGAACTAAGAATAGGAAGAGAAGAAAGTAGAGGGGGAGAGGAGAATGTAAACTAAGAATAGGAAGAGAAGAAAGTAGAGGGAGAGAGGAGAATGTGAACTAAGAATAGGAAGAGAAGAAACAAGAAGAAGAAGAAGAAGAAGAAGAAGAAGAAGAAGAAGAAGAAGAAGAAGAAGAAGAAGAAGAAGAAGAAGAAGAAGAAGAAGAAGAAGAAGAAGAAGAAGAAGAAGAAGAAGAAGAAGAAGAAGAAGAAGAAGAAGAAGAAGAAGAAGAAGAAGAAGAAGAAGAAGAAGAAGAAGAAGAAGAAGAAGAAGAAGAAGAAGAAGAAGAACAAGAAGAAGGAAGAAGGAAGAAGAAGGAAGAAAAAGAAGAAGAAGAAGAAGAAGAAGAAGAAGAAGAAGAAGAAGAAGAAGAAGAAGAAGAAGAAGAAGAAGAAGAAGAAGAAGAAGAAGAAGAAGAAGAAGAAGAAGAAGAAGAAAAAGAAAAAAAAGAATAAGAAGAAGAAAAAGGTGATGATTATGATGATGATGATGATGATGGGGGGAGCTGAAAGAAGATAAGTTAGAGGAAGACGAGAAGGAGATGTAAGAGGAGGAAGAAGGAGAGGAAGAGTCCAAATTTTTAAAAAATCCTACCTTGTAAACGTCATATCTTGTAATGATGTCATCAAACAGTGTGTACAAACTGTTTAGCAAGTTGACCACCTCTATTGGAGTACTCTCCGAGCAAATGTTTGTGAATCCGACAATGTCCGAGAAGTAGATGGTCACTTGGTCAAACAGTTCCGCTTTGACCGGCTTACCCAGTTTGAGATCTTCAGCCACTGATCTGAAGTGTATTAGATTGTGTTACAGATTCGAATACTGACAAAGTCGTTATATTAGTGTTGAATAGTTATCTTTCTGAACTTTTTTCTTTCCCAAATTCTCTCTCTCTCTCTCTCTCTCTCTCTCTCTCTCTCTCTCTCTCTATTTCTCTCTCTCTCTCTCTCTCTCTCTCTCTCTCTCTCTCTCTCTCCGCACCTTTATATTGTACACACCAGAAGAAGATGAAGCAGAAATATTTATATATATATATATATATATATATATATATATATATATATATATATATATATATATATATATATATATATAATCATTATGTAACAGGCCCTTTGCAGAAGGTCGCTCTCACAGTCTGCCTGAAAGAAACTCGGTCTCTCGCCAGTTCTCCCGCCTCATGTACTTTCATACTCAAGGAGTCAATTATATACTGTGCCCATCTTCGTGTGGGTCGGCCCCTGCCCCTCCTTCCTGGTACCATGCCCTCTGCTATAATTTTTTCCAATCCGTCGTGGCGCTTGATATGACCAAAATATTTCAGCTTCCGAGAAAGGATGCTGTTTATTGGCCAATTTTCCTTGATGTTCAGATCTTTTAAGATGTCAATATTTCTCTTCTTCTTTGTCCAATATATTCTGAGAATCTTTCTATAGCATTTTAGCTCAAAAACCCCCTATTCTCTTTCTTAAGGACTGAGAGATAGTCCACGACTCACATCCGTATGTAGCCACAGGGAAGATGCATGCTCTCAAAATTCAAATTTTTATCTCCCTGCTGGTGCTTAACCATAGATTTTGAAGGCTGTTCAATCTTTGAATTATGGCCATCCATCTTTTCAATTTCTGTTGAACAGTCTCCATTGCTGTTTATTATAGAGCCTAGATATTCAAAGTTTGTGACATTTTCTATTTTTTCATTATTTTTTTTTTTTTTTTTTCTGGTGACAGCCAGTTTTATCTGTGGACATTATTTTAGTTTTCTTTAAATTCAAGAATAGATTTTGATCTTCACTGTGCTTCTGGACAGACAATATTACATTTTCTATTACCTTTACGCTGTTCGAAAGAATGACCGTGTCATCTGTGTAGCGGAGTTCCGGAATAGTGTTGCCACCAATTTTGAGCGGATCATAACCGTCACAAATCTGGTCATTTTTTTGACATTTCTCATTATATTTTTTGAATATATATATATATATATATATTATATGTATATATATTATATATATATATATATATATATATATATATATATATATATATATATATATATATATATATATATATATATTATATATATAGGGCTTTTAGGCTGAAGGGTTATAGAAAGATTCTCAGAATACTATGTAGTAGAGAAACAAGAGAAACATTATGGCCTGGAGAGAATGAGGCCACCTGGGTGTAACCAGAGGTTCTGGCCGGCTCAATACACTCAGAGGAAAGGCAAGGACGAACATATACCAGATTGTGACCCGGTACCATTAGTATTGGGTAAAAAAAAGTAGAACCCATTTTCCGAGATGACAATAATAAAGGGTAGCACCGACGAACTTACTAAAAAAATGACTACAAATTTTAAAGTGGGGACACACAGGAAGTGATAGATAAGGAGAGGGGGCATCCCTGATGCCGGGAAAAAAATAAAACCCCTTTTGGAAAAAGTTCAAAACGATTGAGACACGTGCAGACTTACTGAGCGGGGGGGCGTCTACCAATACATAATTGCTTGCGTTAAGCGGGGAAAAAATTGCATTTTTATAATGGCGAAAGA